TAGAAGAGCTTCTTGTCAGGTAGCTCTTGCTGAGATTGTTAGTATGGAGGAGATATCATGGCGACAAAAATCCCGGGCTCTTTGGCTAAAAGAGGGAGATTGTAATACAAAAAATTTTCACAGACTCGCTAACGCTGATAGAAGAAGTAATCATATAGGACGTATTCGGGTGGAAGGTGTAGAAATGTGGAGGGAGGAAGATGTGCGAAATGGGATTGCTTCTTTTTATCAGAAGCTTTATACCGAACCATTTGCTTGGAGACCTAAACTTAATGGTCTTCATTTTGAGGCTATTTCTCAGATCGATAGGGAGAGATTCCCTTTACTGAAGAAGTTCTAAAGGCTTTATCAAGTTGTAACGGGGACAAAGCTCCGAGGCCAGATGAGTTCACTATGCGGTTTCTTATGGAAAGTTGGGCAGTTGTGAAAAACGATGTGATGGGCACTTTTCAGGAGTATTATTCTACTGGTGCCTTTGAGAAGTCGCTAAATGCAACTTTCATTGCCATTATCCCTAAAAAGGGAGGTGCTTTCGACATTAAAGACTTCCATCCTATCAGCTTAGTGGGTTGTATCTACAAGCTTATGGCTAAAGGTCTTTGCTTTTAGGATGAGGGGAGTGATGGATGGGATTATATCGGACTCCCAGAATGCTTTTGTTGGAGGAAGGCAAATTCTTAACTCAATTTTTATTGCAGGCAAATGTGTGAACTCTAAATTGAGAAGTGGTGTTCCCGGAGTCTTGTGCGAACTTGACATTGAAAAAGCGTATGATCATGTGAATTGGAATTTCCTGCTTTATTTGCTTTAGAGAATGGAGTTTGGAAGTAAATGGAGGAAATGGATAGAGACATGCCTTTCGTCTGTCAAATCCTCTGTTCTTGTAAACGGGTTTCCTGCTGGTTTCTTTGGGTGTTCTCGAGGTTTAAGACAAGGAGATCCCCTATCATCTTTCCTCTTTCTTATTGTTATGGAGGGATTAAGCAGACTTATGCGAAGATCTTATTAAGGGCTTTATGGTTGGAAGAGATACTGTCCATCAGACGGAGGTCTCTCATTTACTTTTTGTGGATGACACCCTAGTTTTCTGTGATGCTAATGTGTCTCAGCTTAGATATTTGAGGTGCATCTTGGCCTGTTTTCAAGCTGTCTCTGGTCTGAAGGTTAATGTGGCTAAAAGTGTGCTTGTTCCGGTTGGAGACGTTCATGATATCTCATCTTTAGAGGCAGTCCTTGGGTGTAGGGTGAGTTCTTTTCCAATTCCGTATTTAGGCTTGCTTTTTGGGGTTTCCTCTAGAACGGTGGGGAGTTGGGACCCTGTGATTGATAGGTATGCGAAGAGATTAACAGGATGGAAAAAGCAATACTTGTCTAAGGGGGGAAAAGTTACGCTTATAAAGAGCAATTTATCGAGCCTTCCCACATATTTTTTTATCTATGTTCCAAATTCCATGCTCTATTGCTGCTAGGATTGAAAAAATTCAAAGGGATTTCCTTTTGGGTGGAAGAGGAGAAGAATTTAAGTATCACCTTGTCAATTGGGAACAAGTCTACAAGCCAATGAAGTTTGGTGGTCTTGGTATCAGAAGACTGGTCCCCTTTAACCAAGCTCTTCTGGGAAAATGGCTGTAAAGATACGGGAGGGAAAGACATCCCCCTTGGTGAAGGCTTGTTTTATGCCGATATGGGGAAGAAAGTGGTGGTTGGTCTACTCGTCCGGTTTCTCTCGCGGTCTGAGTTGGGGCGTGGAAATTCATTAGGAAGGGATGGGACGCTTTTTCTACTCATATCAGATTCAAAGTTCGTGATGGCAGATGTGTACGCTTTTAGGAGGATCTTTGGCGTGGAGACCGGCCTTTATCTTGTTTAATTCCCAGGTTATACAGTATTGCAGTTGATAGACATGCCTACATAGCCAACTGTTATCGGCTTAATAACAGTGGGATTACGTGGGGCGTGCACTTTTGACACTCTTTTCAGGATTGGGAGGTGGACAAGGTATGTGTTTTTCTAGATTTGATGTATAGACAAGGGGCAGTTGGCAGAGGTAGTGATGACATGATATGGATTCCCTCTTCCCATGGTCGCTTCGAAGTTCGATCCTTATTCTTATGTCTTTCTGATTTTGATATCGTTGATTTTCCGTGGAAGACTATTTGGCGTTCTATGGCTCCAACTAGGGTGGCATTCTTTGTTTGGAATGGGGTAAGATCCTAACGATTGATAATCTAAGGAAAATGGGCAATTGTCTTGTTAACTAGTGTTGCCTTTGCAAACAAGATGGTGAGTCAGTTGCTCACATTCTCATGCATTGTCCTATGGCGAGGGATTGTTGGAATCTTATCTTTTGTCTGTTTGGCTTGCGTGGGTTATGCCTCGTTATCCCAAGGATTTGATTCGTATTTGGAGAGGATGTCGTGTGAGTAGCATTGTTCGCGATTATTGGAGAGTGGTACCACATTGTGTCTGGTGGTGCATTCGGAAGGAAAGGAATAGTAGAATGTTCGAAGGGAAAGAATCGTCCACTGCGATTTTGAAACTTCACATCATACGCTCCTTCTTCAGTTATGTGAAGAGGAAGTCCTGTTCTTCTCCCGAAGATTTAATTATGTTTTTTGGCTTCTTTTGGGCCTTAATCCCCAATTCCACTTTTGTATAAGGGATGCGTTCCCTTCTTGAACGCCTTTTTATTTCAATTATTACTTGTCAAAAAAAATATATATATATAGGGTCATTGTCCTTTTGTTTATCCTTTTACCAAATGACTACCAAGGCCTTTAGGTTTGAGAAATATTTCCACTGACTTGAACAAATCAGAACTTGAGGCCATGTTGGAGAAGAAAAGAACGCAATACCATACCAGAGAAGCGAAGAACACAGCTGGGTCTGTTCAAAACAAGTGGGGCAGGTCGAATGTGTGTTGGGTATGCCCAAACAAATGGGTATCGGGTCAGGACAGATCCACTTTGTTACTGACTAGTTTGGACTGGTCGAACAAGAATAGTCCAAATACGAATCTGGTCAAGTTATGTCTGTGTCTTCCTCACACAATCTTAGTTCAATTGAGAAACCGTATTGGACGATGGCTGCAACCCTATCTCACCAGATTCCCGACAACAATACTCCAGCGATCAGTGAATCAAACAGTGGACGAGGACCGACAAACAATGAATCAAACACGATGACATGAGCTCTACCATGATTATACACAATGAGGCATTGTTACCGCAACTACCACAAAACAAAATTATATAACAATGAGCTCTACCATGATTATATAACAATGGACGATGAGGATGATGACGATTGACGGCGAGGCTGCTGTCGGCATAAGAAGAAATAACAAAATAAAATGATCACCCAGGTTTGTGCTCTGATACCGTGTCGAATTTAGGGTTAGTGAATTTGGATTAGATCAAGGATTAAGAAGGAGAGATCATGAAAAGAGAAAAATGGGGAACTGGTGTGAGAGAGAAATCTGATCTCTCCCTCACCCTAGTCTCATATATATATATATATGTATATATAAGAATAAAGAAACAAGGAAAGTACTAAATTGTTCATGTGGGGTAAACTAATTATTACATATGTGCCCAATATGACTATTTTAACACAGAGAGAGATACCCAGGTTAGTTTTTGACTGTCATCTAACCATCTCCTGTTTAAGACAAGAAATTCTCCCTTGTATTCCTATTTTTTTTTAGATCAGTTGGCAAAATAGGAGCACAGCTTTATGGGGTTTGCTGAAGGATATTAAAGTTACACCCTGTCCAATAGCTTAAGCTTTTAGAGTGGATGCTTGCCAACATGGTATCAAAGTAGACAAGGTCCTGTGTTCAAACCTCAGCGTCACCTGATAATCAAAGTTGAAACACGGGTTGGACCAAAAGGCCACAAATAAGGGGTCATGCTGAAGGATATTAAAGTTACATCCTCTCTAATAGCTTAAGCTTTTAGAGTAGACGGTTGTCAATGGGGTTCAATTATCTCCTCCGGTGTGCCGAATCACATGAAATTTAGGGATTTTTTTTTTTTCCAAAATAGTTGAAAAAACAATTTCAGTGTTAATTTGGGGTCATTAAGATGTTCAAGTAGCTCACAGGACACTGCACGGAGGCAGGAAATGTGGTTGCTCAACAATGATGGGTGTTTTTTTTTTTTTTTTTTTTTTTTTTTTTTTTTTTTTAAGAAAATATCAACTAATGGTGTAATATTATGGGATGGGTATATTTAGAAGAAAAAAACTTTATGAAAGCAACATCATTTTGATAAAATGGATTTACGTGCTTTCACATTGTTAATGGTGGCACGAGGGGGTTTTTTTTGCATTTTATCCTAATAATAACAAAAAAATTCAACCAATAATAAGATTATAATAAAATAGATTAATAATAATAATAATAAGTTATTATCATTGACCTCTAAATTATGTATCTTGAGGGCAGCATAACTAGAAATTTATTTTCTTTTCTTAATCTAAAATCCTCTTTAGAACTGTGTCAGTTAGCCTTAATTATATTGAACTTATTAGATAACAAGTGGTATCATTTATTTTTTTCCTAATTGGTACTCACACACACATGCTTCCACTAAGACTTGAACCCCTGAACTCCCTTTGGGAAGTAAGGGCCTGATACCGCTAGGTCACTAGCCCATTAGTCAAGTGGTATCATTTTCTCTCTATTGGTATTCAGGAAACTCAGTACTTCGAATTAAATATTTTCTAATTGTCCATTTTTTGTTGCCTAACTCTAATTGTTATAAGGTGCCATTGTTTATTTAATGGATGGAAAATAGAGGCACTATTGATTGATAATGACAACAATTGAGAAATTTTCAACATCATCTACAGTTTTTACAGGCTTTGGATGATTAATTATTGAGTCATATATGCATGTGTGTGTGTATATATATATGTGTGTGTGTGTGTTGGTTAACACAAACAATTGTGGCCTTTATTCAATATATTAATTGCTATGGTGTTGGTAAATATTTCAGGAAAGTTGTCACTGTTGCACAGAAAAGTCTTATGAAGCATCAGCAGAGTCAGACTTGTATGAGTAATGCATTATCTCGTAAAAGAATTTCTGGTGGAATTAATGGAGGTCTTATAAATGATGCCACCTTGAAATCTTTGGATTTTAAAAGGGACTTTCTCTTTCCATTTTCTCTGTTATTGCACAATACCAGACCCATTGGACGTCAGGTATTTAGATGATTTAAAGGTAGCACCTCTATAATAGATGATTATTTTGGATGTTCATCTTCTAATATCTGGAAATCTCTATGTTTCAGGACACACTACAGCTACTGATCTCTATCATGCTTTTGGCAGACCTTTCCATTACCCTCCTTACGTTGGTGCAGTTCTATTGGATATCTCTTGGAGCTTTTCTTGCTGTTTTGCTTATTCTTCCTCTATCCTTGCTTTCTCCATTCCCAGCAGGCCTGAATGCCTTATTCAGTAAAGGACCAAGGAAGGCTTCACTTGCTCGAATCTATGCATTGTGGAATGCTACCTCTCTGTCGAACGTTGTAAGTTTTCCAGTGTGGCTGTAAATTTAGCTGTAATTTTACATGCTGCATATATGCTGAAAGTGAAAAGCAGGTTTGGCTTTTGGCTTAGACTAACTTCCTTTGTTTTTCAGGTAAGTAAAATATTATCAACATGTTGAAAAAGGTGTTAATTTCAAAAAGAAGTAAATAAATAAATAAACTTTGGTTTATGCTCTTTCGACTTGTAAACATGAAACTTTTCTTATATGATTTTAGCCAAAAGCCATAACTGACTCCTGACTTTACCATACTCATGGTGCAGAACTTTCGCATGAAAATAAATTAGTGAATTTCCTCATCACATTTTTCGATATAACATGATACAAACTAAAAGCCAATAAGTCGTAGAGTTCATATATATTTGGAAAAGAAGGGTATGGCATGTTTTGAAAGGGAACATTATAAATACATTGTATGATCAACAAAGGGCAAATTGCAAAAACAACTCTGAACTAATTTTTTACCCAAAACACCCCTTCATCTTTCAAGAGCATGCGTAATATGCCCCACTCTTATTCGCCAATGGTCAAGTATCCATTAATTTGTGATGTGAAGATATCAAAGTGCCCCCTTATAAGAACTTGAAAAAAATAAAATAAAATAAATATGTAAAATGATAAAGACCTCATTTCAAGTTCATTACTAGGGTCTCTTTAATAATTTCACATTGTAAATTAACGGAGACTTAATGGCCGTCTGGAGACAATGGGGCATTTTGCACAATTTTGAAAGATTAGAGGGTTTTTTGGCTAAATAAATAGTTCAGGTGGGTTTTGTTACAAAAGATTGATAGGCCATGGATTTTTTTACAATTTACCCTTTAATGAACATAAAAGTGATGAGAATAAAGGGCATTTTTTACTAATGGGAGTGAAGCCATAAGGTATATATATACAATGAATGTAGAGTGTCCGGAATAATAATGGTCTTCAAATATATTTGTCATATCCATTATTGTCAGGAATAAGAATCATGTGTTGCCAATGTCCTACTTAAAACTCTTTTTGTAATGTGTCAGACTGTGATGAGTCTTATGAGTACAAAGATTTGTTAAGAACACGGTGAGAAATCTGCATCCTCAATCACAAATCGAGGGCACAAGTAAATTGACTTTAGAAGTGTAAGACCTAAGATTGAACTTGGAGAGAGAGAGAGAGAGAGAGAGAGATGTGTTTCGTTTGTAATAGAATTTAATCTTTATTTTCTATCGAGCATCATCTTTTGTTGGTTTTCCACTTGCCCCTGCCACCTGTTAATCAGTGATTTTGCTTTAGCAAATGGCAACGTAATTCACTGCCATCTGAACTTGGTTCTTGCTTTGGAACAAAATTTTGAGTTTTCCTGCCTATCTTTAAACCTGCCTTCTTCTTTTGTTTCGTAAATAAATCTACCTTATTATTATTTTTTCATTAATCTCATTATTATTATAGTCAATTAACTGAGATTCTAATTTCATTACCTGAGATTATAATTTCAGTCTATGCTTTTCCCAAATAATATCTTGAATATTGCAGATGGTTCCGTAATTGTGTGTAAAAGTCCCTGTTATTTTTTCGCAAGTCCATGATAATAACTGAAACTGAAAGACAGCATTTGTGACTTGTTGCCTTTCACACATTTACAAATTTCACTCATGAAGCAGTAATCAATGTAGAAGTGTTATTCGGAAATGGAATACTTATGCTGTATAGTGGGTTCAGAAATCGTATTTTGTCTGAGCCATATAGTGTTCAAGTATCTTTTCTCGTTTAATTTTTATAATTTGCCATTTGCAGGTTGTGGCTTTCGTCTGTGGCACATTTTATTATGGAATTTCCTCTTTGCAGCCACCTGAAGAGTCAAATGTATGGAATACTAGAAGGTGAGACCATTGACTTCATTGTCCATGGGTTTTAAAACCAAATGTATTTTTATAAATTTGTAGGGGCATTTATACAATCATTAAAAGATAGACATGCAAAACTAAATTAACAAAAAAGTTAAGAGAGCGCGGCTCTACCATTGACATGGTGTGAGAGAGAGAGAGAGTTGATTACTCTTTATAGGTATGTTTAAAAAAAAAAAAAAATCCAGAGGTGGCGGACGCCCCCACTGGGCCTAACATAGGTCCATCCACACTCGAGGGGGTTGGGGCTGGGGGAGGTGGATCCACATACCTAAACAGAGAGTTGTACTTAGAAGTTTTAAGGTGGTTAATTTGCTGCCACATTGAACAGTCATAGGACTTGTTTGCAAATTATAGTTCCTTTAAAATCTGTAGAGGGGAAGAAACAACTGTCCCATAACAAGGGACTAAAGTAACAAATTGACATTTTCTATACTACTAACTCGTTCCTTGATTTCTTTTTTCTTTTATTTGGGTCTTCTAAACTCGATTCTTTTTTGGAAATTTACGCAAACTTAAATTGTTTGTAAAACCAGGGAGGACGACAAATGGTGGCTTTTGCCCACAATCCTGTTGCTATTCAAGTCAATACAAGCTCGTTTCGTCGACTGGCACATAGCTAATCTAGAAGTCCAAGATTTTTCACTCTTCTGCCCAGATCCTGATACATTTTGGGCCCATGAATCTATTTAGTGACATACAGAGTCCAATGCCCCAGAAGAGAGAATATTCGTCACAGCTTCTGTTTTATGCTAACAGGACCAGGAAGCAGCAGACAGGTTCAGCCACCCATCGTGTATATATGTCCGAATTTGTAAAAATCCCTGATATACGTGCAGTTTTCTTCTGTAACCATAGCAACCTGAGCACTTGAGAGAGATAGCATGTAAAGAAGATAGAGAAGTAGTCTCCTCATTTTATAGGGAAGTAGATTCATCATTCTTTTTTCTGCTTGAAAATATTTGTTAGAAGGAATGCACAGCAATTTCTAATCTTTAGTCACCCATTTTGGTTCTTTCTTCTTTTACCTTCGCGATTTAAGGAACGACGACTTGTAAATATTTGTGATGATTTTGGTACATTTAACTTTTTCTTCTTTGGATAAATTGTTTCATTTTGTTTCGATGTTGCCAACTTGCGATCTTGCTTCTGGTTTGATAATGCAAACTCGATCTTCAGATCAGGTACTTCATTTTCGCCAACAGTCGTGAAACTAGTGGAAGATCATTCTCATTCCATTTACGGCAGACCAGGAGGCTAAATGCCGATGGAGCTTGGACACTATAAGTTAGTGCAGGTGAAGCCGTTACAGATTCTTCATCTTGGGCTGAATCTAACCTAAGTGGGCTCCTCAATTTTTGCATTCTGTGCTGAGTCCTTGTGTCACAAAGTGTCTCTTGATACACAGACCTGTGGCTTATGTGCGTATCTTTTCTTTTTTCCTGAGTAAGTTTGTGTAATGTTGACTTATTTGCTACTATGTTCACCCCTAAAAAAAAAAAAGAATTTACATAATGCTCAATAACTAATGTCACATATCAATCTAAGTGTTATTATGTAAAGTTCAATTTTTTAAAAAAAATTATAAGAACAAAAAAAAATACTTTAATATGTTAATTTAAAGATTTTCATCTCAATATTAAAGTTTAGACAATGTACAAATTATGCTCGATGTTTGGTCATCCTTTTTTTTCCATGTATACAAGACTCTGTCAATCAATTGGCTCCACATCAACTGGTTGGGGCTTTCAATTGACGTTTGGTCCATAGGCGTCGTTCGGTATTTTCAATTTTTTGTGCTAGATTTATGTGTGAAATTAATTTTTTAGCACTATGTGAATATCTTTTATTGATGGTGAAGGTAGTGAGTGTGAGTTTTTTTTATTTCATGTATACAGGACTCGGTCGACGTGAAGTGGCTACACGTAAATTGGTTGGGGGCTTTCGGTCGACGTCTGATCCATAGGGGTCGATCGGTATCTTCAATTTTTTGGGCTAGATTTATGTGTGACATTAGTTATTCAGCACTATGTGAATACCTTGTTTTGAGGGTGAAAGTAGTGGTAAGGAAGTAAGTTACTTTGTGTAATTATAACATCCAAACGCGGTGTCAATGGCACTTAAACAAATAAGAACATGGTTAAATATAGGTCAAGTAATGTACACCACATGGGACAGTAGGGTAAAGTGACTTCAGAGAGAATTCCTGACATGTAGTAGAAGTATAAATGATAGTGGTATTCAAACCATAGTTACAGGAAATTTGATGTCTGGCAGAAGAATGGATGATAGTGGTATTTAAACCACAGGATGAGTCCTCAATGTAGATAGTAGGAAGAATATATGAGGGGTTTTTTGGACTTCATCAAAAATAAAAAATAAAAATAAAAATAAATAATAATAATAATAATAATAATAATAATAAAAAATTGGACTTCATTGATCCTATGGCCTATGCTACTATGACGTTTATTAGCTAGCTATGTTGAACTATTGTGGGATGGTACTATGAACACAAGGGTTGTTTGGTTGGTTTAGTTATAGATGTTCGTTTTTATATATAGACACTGGCATAGAAACTCATGCATCCAGATGTTTTGATGAAAGCTTGAAATTTATGTGTTCTACTTTGTAAGGTAGAAGAGATATCATTAGAGTAGAAGTAGTTTAGAACCTTACATTTAAATTTTTTATATATTTAAATTTTTTTTTGTTTTAAAGTTTTTAAGAAACATGTCAAATAGAATGTGATTTGGTAATGAAGTTTGTGGAAAAAATTTGGTAGTGAAGAAGTTTGATGATACTTTAAAAATAAAATTATATTATATTTTTAAACAATATAATTCTTTATATTGTTTGTGATGAATAAAATATTATTTTTAAATTTTTAGTTTCTCATACATTTGTTGATAAATTTAAAAATTAAAAAAAAAAATTCAAAATGCAAAGAAATAAAAATCATACATATTTTTTCAAAATGCCACTAAACCGCTGTCTCTGTAAAAGTTAGCAGTTAAGAAACAAAATTCAGCTTATGATAGCCATTGTAAATCGATTCTTTATCAACTAAAAGCATAAATGTAGTACATATATTTTTTTATTCTCTTTATTTATTTTTGTGAAGGTTAAAGAAGCAGAAGCAGACACTATTCTATGCCACATATAAAATTTGTTGCTTCTTCTTGCTACCCAATCAGAGTGGCGCAGCGGAAGCGTGGTGGGCCCATAACCCACAGGTCCCAGGATCGAAACCTGGCTCTGATATACCAGAGAAGGCTTCCGATGTAAAACCAATTTTTTTCCAGTTTAGAAATCAATGTTAGGAAGCTAGAAAATAATTTTTTGAATCAGGTGATTTTTTTTTTTTTTTTAAGAGCTATTTCGGAATATCAAATAGTTTGATCTCTTTTCGAAATTTTCATAATTAGAGTCTCATTTTTACATGTGTGGTTTTTCATATTTTGGGTAAATAGGAATTGTTCTAGGAATTTTAATTTTAATATACAAATCAAACCCATGTTCATGATTTTTTCTACATTTTTTTTAAAGGGAAAACTACATTTAGGAGCTTTAAATAACAAAATGGTCTATTTTAAAAGTTCATTTTTCACTTTGATTGAATTAAGTAAAATAATTACATATGCATCAAAAACTATTGTTTAGGTTCAAAATGCTCTCCAAACACTTATTCCAAAATACTAAAAATTATTCTCCTAAAATCAAGTACTTTCTTTAAATAATTTATTTATTTGAAAATTTTAAGAAAATAAGATCTTTCATTTAACTTTGCAACTTTCATATTATACAAATAATAAAAAAGATTCAATATAGTAAAAAACTAAAAAACGGGCAATCAAAGGTTAGTCCCCAAAAAATATATATATATATAATTAATCTTAAGAATATATAAATCGTCTTTGCTGTGGTGCATGCGATGATCATCAATTTTTTAGCTCAATTAATTACACTTGTTTTATAAATAAATAAAAATGATTGCTAGTGTACCATTTACTGAAACAACCATTTAGTTTTTTCATAATCTCCCTCTACCGTGTGTGTGTACTGTGTATGTGTAAATATGTATAGGAAATTTTTCACATTTGCAAGTTTATATTGGTATGAATTAGGAGATATAGTTAAAATTATACATATACATATACATATATATATATATATATATATATATATATATATATATATATAAAATGAATTTCCAATTGACCAAATTGAAAAATTAACTTTTAAAATAGACCGATTTGTTATTTAAGGCTCCTAAATCTACTTAAGTATAATTTTCCCTTTTTTAAATCTATTTCCTTTTGTTCTTATTTCTTTTTGTAATTCTAATTTTTTGTCATGTTTCAAAGAGGATCATGGGATGGCTGATCTATTGTTTTAAGTCCATAATTTTCTTAGTTATCGACTTAATTCTACTTAAGTATAATTTTCTGTTTTTTAAATCTATTTCCTTTTGTTCTTATTTCTTTTTGTAATTCTAATTTTTTTTTCATGTTTCAAAGAGGTCATGGGATGGCTGATCTATTGTTTTAAGTCCATAATTTTCTTAGTTATAGACTAAAAAAACTCTATTGATTTTCAAATGAAATTTATTCCTCCCGTTAGGGAATTTGATCCAATGCTAGTATATTTTCACGGTACACAAAAGCTTATTTCCATTTGTTTTTATATTTTATTGTTTCAAAGAAACAAATAAGATGGTTGATTAATCTTCAGAATTATTCTATTTTATAGAGTTTCTAATTAAATTATGCGTCATTAAAATTTGGTTGAATATTTTAAGAAATTATTATGTCACATTCAACAATAGACCATGGAACAAATTATCTATTATATATATAATATAAAATGGAAAGGTACAACAACAGTCCGCTGTAGCTAAATCCTTTGGTAAAACTCGGTTCTCTCACGATAATCCCGAGTTCGAGTCCCGGCAGCGGAATTTGACGTTTTGTGTCAAAAAAAAAATAAAAAATAAAAAAAAATAAAAAAATAAATCACATCAACTAAAAGAAAAAATGAAATTAAAATAAAACAAATAAAGAAAAAGAAAGCAAAAGCATTAAATGATCTAAGATTCAGAAATATCAAATGGCATCTAGTCTAATGGCACATAATCTTTCCTCTTTAAGAAGTAGGGGAGGTATTCGAGTCTAAGTGTAGGCAAAAAATGTGTGAGCCCGTCAAAAAAAGAAAAAAAAATGAAAAATCATAATCCATGTAGTTCTTGAACAATCTTTAGACCACTGGCTCCCATATACCATGTGATTAGTTCTTCATATTTTGGCTAAATTAAAAATTTTCAAAGAATTTTAATATACAAATCAAAACCCGTGTTCATGATTTTTTCTTATAGTTATCTTGACAGTTTATAACATAAGAATATCTTATAGGAAAAAACAATTTTGAAATAAATAAAAATAAATAAGCATTATTTTCCATAGTGGTAGAAGATGATTTCATTTAACAAATTTGTAGAAAATGAAAATCAATAAAAATCAAATAAATTAATGCACATTATAATTTTCAAAAAAAAAAATATATATATATATAGTAGGTAAATTTCAAAGAAATACTTAGATTCACGTGGGTCTGAATGTTGGTCGCAAATGCAAATATAATGTGAATAATATTTAATGGTAGATATTATATATATAATATCATAATAGTGTGTGTGTGTATATATGGGTAAACAATAGAAGGTGAACAAGAAGAAGAACATGTGCTGCTACAATAGTGGATGATATTTGGGTAAGAGTGAAGATGGAGTAGATATGTATGGGTAGGGACGTATCTAGAAATTTATGTGAGAGAGGGCGGACCTTTAACAATAAGAAAAAAAGAAAAGAAATCATATCATAAAATAGGTGCAATAATAGGGTTTTTGTGATTTCAGTGAGGACAATTTAACATTTTTATAGGTATATAATTCAAAAAAAAAGAAATTATTAGATATATAATAGGTGGGGGAGTTGGTCCCACTAGGCCTTCACTAGGTTCCTGCCTATATATAGGGAATATAAAAAAAAACAAGCAATATTACGGAAAAGAATGAAGATCTGCATAATTGTAGGAATGATATTTGTTG